CCCTAACCCCTAAATCCCTAAACCGGGGAGCTCCGAGGTGGCCTCCAGGGCCTCGGCGGCGCCGGAGCCCAAGGACCCGGCCACCACGGCGGCGGCCAGCACGCGGCGCCACATGGCGAGGTTTTTTTCGATGCCTTTTTTGGGGGATCTGCACCGGGGGGGATGGGCCTTCAAACGGCTTTCATGGTGCCAAACAATTGGGGGAAACAGATTTTCCCCCCAATTGTCTAGTTCAAATGGTGGGAAGTTCACTGGGATGAATGGCATGGCATGTGGGTAGTTCCCGAAATCAGGGTCCCATTTTGGTACTAATAATTACTAGGTGCCGTAATGTACTCTATAAGCAGTGGGCCTATAATTTTGAGAACAACCCATGTGACAATCAACTGCAAAGATGCAAAGCTCAACTTCAGGCATGCCTCTCTCTGGATGGCAGTTGACAACCTGTCGAGGAGCCTCTTCCTGAGATCGCTCCGTGCAAGCCCCAAGGCTTGCCATAAGCTCCCTTTCGAGACCCTATTCCAAATGCCACTGGGTCGCCACCTGTCACTGCCTGTCCCGCTTGGTTGCTGCTCTCTCTGGCAAAGGGATCGTCCGCACCTCAGTGTTTCACACAGTGCATCCACAAACTTCTGACATGTGCATCTGGGAGCCCTACTGGTTGCATCCCTTCGAGAGCTTGACCCTCGCGACCTTTCGCGCCCCTGTCCGTATCCAAGAACATCGAAAGCCGGAGCCCTAATCCCTATGAGAAAATGAACCAATGAAGCAATCCCCTTCTGAGCCTTGGCCACCACAGCATTCTCAGACACCTGCACAGTCACATTGCTGTAACTGGGTAGGGTTCCAGGCTTTATTAGGGCTTAGGAAGAGTTTAAAGCTTATATAGGGGTTATATGGGGAAAATGGAAATAAAATGAGAACTACTATTTAGGGTTAAGGCTTTATGGTTGAGGGTTTATGGTTTCAGCGTAAATGGCTCAAAGACAACAAGGGAAAAAACACCCTCGTGCAACCCAAAGTGATGTAGGGTAGAATCCCTTTTGACCTCTTCGGGGGTAGTTCCCATGACAAGATCTGCACATTGATGGGGTACATAAGCTCGAAACCTTCTACCCCAAATCCTTCTAAATTCCGAAGCTCCCGCATCAACAACCCACAGGAACTGGTCTGCTGGGGTTAAGATCGGGCCTCGCGAATCGGCGAAAGAGGCTTGCAGCTCGGCAGCAGCTGTGCCTGGTCATATAATTGGTGCGAGTCGAGGGATTGCAAATGGCAGCTTGCCTCCAACGCCTCAAATTGCGGAGGAGAGGCCTCCTGCGTCAGAGACTGCAACCTACCACAACGTTCTGCTCGAGACGATTCCGCCTGTAAAGGCGAAACATTCTCTGCCGGGGACATGGCCTGCAGCAAGTGGCACAGGAACAATGCCAAGGGACGGCTCTTGGAAGAAAAAACGCCTGCCGCGGCTGCAACGGCATTTCCTCAGCTATAGTGACTTGCTGGTGGCTTAATGGGGATTTTGGGGAATATGCTATCTGTGGACTATATGGACATTATATTCCCCTGTTCTCTACTACAGTAACCCCAAGCAAGGTGAAGCAACCGACTGAAAGGCAATTCATCTCTGCGGCCTGCACAACTGGTACAGCAACGATCTCCTCCGAATGCGAGCTGCCCTGCGTGTGCAAAGATAAGACGCTTGCCGCGTGGCATGCTTCCATCAATTAGAACGCATGATCTCACCCTACTGGCTCTGATTCTAAACACTTCCCAACACATGGTCCTCAATTTGACTTACGAGGAATTTGATCTGCCACTGCTGGGTCCCTTTGCTGACAGCTGATTTAAATCTGCGGCTTGACCAATCAACATCGGCCAAGTCAAGACATGGGTCCCTCCATCATTGCATGACCAATCAGCACCACGGGGTGTCGGGGTTATTATGAAGCCTTCTGCAGGACAATTGGGATCCACTTCCCCAGCTCTCCCTGAGAACTCCCTGAGAACTGAAGATCCTCTACCCTGTCTCCATGGACCCTGAACCCCGACTGATATAGCGGCTTTCCCCTTTGTTCCACACAAACCCTTAGCCCTAATGCCTCCTTTTTTATCCCACCAAATTCTAGCACTCCCCTCTTTTCCACCCCTCCCAAACTCCCTTCTCAACCATTACACCTAAACAACATGGTGATAGCTTCTATTCTCTTCTCTACTTCCACCCTTATTGCTGGCGGCTAGTAGGGAACAGGGATTATACATAGGCTCTATATTCCAATTCCCGGCTAACCACCAGCAAGTTCAGCACCCATGAAATTCCGGGTGCCTTGTCTTCGACGACTCGGAGTTCAGCACCCGGGGATGGGGGCGGTGCTTTGGGCTGTTCCCTGCCAAAGGCGCTTCAGGAACCCTTGGCATATTCCCAAGATAGTTGTGAGACGATATAGGGATATATGGGGATATCTTGGAACATTCAAGGACAAAAAGGAATGGAGAAGAATCTGGAAACTACTTGGTGCTTTAAGTACAATTACTGCTGCTATTCGTCGTACCATTCTATGATGGGGGAAAGACTGTCTCCTGCATCTGCAAGAACAGACCACAGAGCTCCGAGCTCATCCATTAAGAGGGTCAGGGGAACAAATTGGAATGCATTTACTTAGAATCTAGGGCTTGGGGCGAAGTGAAACCATGGCTCAGTCAGTGCTCCCTGTTCTACTCTAACCCTAGACTCCAAACCCAAAAGCCTGAGCCCTGAACCCTATGCCCCTAAACCCTAAGCTCTAAACCCCTAAGTCATGAAGGCCTAATCCTTCAAGGCGGTCCCAAGAACTGGGAAACACCAGACATGCCCAGCCTTGCGAAAAAGTCAACTGGTCGGGTCTGCCCAGCCTGCTGGGCTACATGGGGATTTTATGAGGAATATACAGAGATGATATAGCCATTATAAACTGATAGGAATTATACAGAACTGACATAAACATGATAAAGAGATAGAAACGATATAGATATTATGAAGGGGTTTTATAGGGGTTATAGAGAGTTTATACCCCGGTCTAGACTCAACGCTGTCATTTTGACGACAAGGAAACAACTGCCCTCCGCCAAACAAAGATGGAACCCGCGGATTCTGTGTTCAACGGTCCCAGAGAAATATGAGGGCATCATGGGGGTCCCTACTAGGATTTTAGATGGGTGGTTTGGAATAGCCTCCCTTTGGGTTCCATGTTCGTCTAGGGGCGTGTGAGCAAAGGAAAAAGCAACAAACGCTTGCCGCCATGAGCCTGCGGGGGGATGATCATGACTTTGGCGCCTTGCACAGTCAAGGAATGAGGTAATATATTGGAGTTATACAGGGAATCATGGAAAAGAAAATGGAAACTACTATAGTATAATAAAGGCACCCTTTTGAAAATTTTAGAGTTTAAGGCTGAGGGCTCTGGGTTTTGGCTTCAGGGCTCACGCAACACGAACCAGACAGAAGTGAACGGCGGCCTGCTAGCGCAGACTGGCGCAACTTGCCATCCCTCCTGGCAATGTTTGTTTACAGTAGTACATCAAGGTCTTGATTGGGGTCCACCCATTTTGGGAAGCTACCACATATACATGTACATATACATGTCATGTCCAATACATATACAGATACGTATGCATGCAGGTTATACATCAAAGGGTTATGAGGGATGAGAGTTGTCCTTCTTCAGGATTACTTTGGGAAGTCCACGTGACTTTCTGTGCCTTCATTCCTGTAGTCCCCTTAGACCTACAATAGACATAATAAGATGTTAATCGTTCCTTAGGGTTATATGAAAGAAGAGCAAAAAAATCTGGACTGCTGGAGAGGGTGCTTTTTTTTGAAGCCTGAAACAGATTGCAACTTAGGACAAATACCGGGAACCTTAAAAGAATGACATGCAACTGTGGGATCGGCCCCTGCGACCAAATGTAGAAACGCAAAATCATTTGAATATGGGCCTTCGTAACAGGTAACACTTGTCCTGTCATCATGTAAGGGTAAGGGTAATGAGGGAACTTTGGTCAACATTCAGACTCCAACGCCTTTTCTTTTGGAATGATTCTACGCGGGGTCCCTGTTACTTTGGGGGAGTGTAGGCTGCTGCACTCTTTGTTGTCATCAGGAGCTCATCAAAGCACAGCCAGCAAGGAGAGATCTCTTGGTGGTTTTGCGTACCAAGTGGGTACTGACCCAGTAAGATAATATTCCTTATATAAAATACTATACCCCAAAAGGAGGATAGAATTTTACTGTATATTGGGTACCATAGTATCCCCAAAGAAAATACTACTCATTTGGATGCACCGAGGAGGCTCCTTTGCAGCGGTGTCTCCGACTTGCTGCGAGGCGAAGTGGGTCCTTCAAGCATCTCCACATTGGTGCTGTAGTATGCAGTGGTATAGAGGCTAAAAAGTATATAGGGTTATATATAGGCCTATATAGCGGATATATTGGGGGGTATATTGGGGAGAATGGAAAAAGAAAACGGAAACTATTGTTTAGGGATTTAAGGGGCTTCGGGTTTAGGATCTAGGGCGTAGGGTAGCTTCCTTTTGTCGAGGCGAAGAAGCATCAGCCTCCAAAAGAGCGCATATTTCTTTTGGCTGAGGAGATCTAGGTTCAGGGTATAGGTTTTAGGGTTTAGGTTTAGGGTTTAGGGTTGCTTGAAGTCTGCTCTACCTGGACCTGAAGTACCTCGTCCTGTTGCATACCAACAGCTGTCCATCCCACAAACAAGTGCGGAGGATCCTCGGAGAATAGTGAGGAGTACTAGATTATAGTATCTCATAATGTTCCATTTTACATTCTAGTATAGTATAATATATAATGGTATATTATAATATGTAATGGTATATTATAGTATATAACTGTACATGGAGTGTTTGGCAACTCCCTTCAACTTCCCCCAACCCCCCGTTGGAATATGGCAATGCCTGCCTGATTGTGTTCCTGATCGCGGGCTTTGCGAAGCCGAGGAGCATCTTGAGATCGCCTGCGGATGTCGGACGGAGGGGTTTAGGGTTTAGGATTTAGGGGAGTTAGGGTCTAGGGTTTTAGCATCACCCAAGGGAACCTGGGCCTTACAACATTCCAGAAGAAGGAACCCTCATTCGCAACGGTCACAGAAGAAAACCCAGCCCTAGTCTAAACTCCTAGTATCCCCCTTCACATCCCCTAGAGTAGTCCCCAAGATAATCGCCTATGTAGCCCTCTTGAGGGAGTTTAGATTACGGCTCATATACTCCGCATTGAGTCCCAAAACATACCTGCCTCCTGACGGGATCTCGGTGCCTCCAAGGGTTGAGGGTTTAGGGGTTGGGGTTTGGGGTTTAGGGTTTAGGGTTTGGGGTTTTGGGTTTGGGGTTTAGGGTTTGGGGTTTAGGGTTTGGGGGTTGAGGGGTTGAGGGTTGAGCGTTGAATATTGGTGTCTTGAGCTTGGGGATTAGGGCTTAAGGAGTAGATTTCTGGTGCAGGATGTAGGATTTAGGATTTGGGGTTTGGGTTGGGATGATGAATTGTTGCGTTTGGCATTGAAGGCAACCTGCCCTTTTTTGGAAAGGGATGCTCAGAGTTTACACTGACTGTAGAACAGCTTTTCAAGGATAACACGGGCATCATGAGGGTGAGAGTCTTTGCACGCACGTTGAGATTGATGATGTTCACATCTAGTCCTTTGCGAGCTGAGTAAGGATACAAGTGTGTGGAAAACTCCTAGGATACTGCAGTCCTGAGTGCCAGGGAGCAGCTAGGTTCCTGCAGGGAGTTTGGGGTCCCAAACCCCCCTTCTCAGCTTCAACAGGCTGGGTTGGGTAGTCCCAATTCCTGCTGGCAGATGTACGCTTGGGGTCATCGCACTTGCCGAATTGCTTCTAAGGTCTCCCTTCTTCAGCTCATGCAGTTGAATGTCTCAGTCCTTATTGATGTGAGGATCCGCCCCCCACAAGAAAACACGCCCATAAACAGTGCCTCATGTGTAAACTCCAAACTCCTAATTAAGCCCCTAAATCCTAAAACCCCTACGTACACCCTTAACCCCTATATACCCCAATTTTACCCCCATTTAAACTCAATATAGCCCCTAGATAGCCCCAATATGACCCCTTTACCATTCCTCTATGACCCCAATATACTATATAGTTGTTTCCATGTTCTTTTCCATTATCCCTATCGAACCCCAATGATATACCCCATATTCTACCTGCTTAACGGGGACTATAACCCCGATGTATACCTATTACACTATAGTAGTTTCCATTTTCTTTGCCATTTCCCCTATCTAACCCCAATATACATGCCCATAAACCCCAGCGTACATTTCATTTTCCATCTTCTTTTCCATGTTATTCTCCCTTATAGGGACCCTAAACCGTAAACCCTATACTATAGGAATTTCCAGTTTCTGTTCCATTGTCCCCAATATAACCCTCTTTATATAATATACAACCCCAACCCTATACTATATGAGTTTCCATTTTCTTTTCCATTATCCCAGTATAATATGCTATACAAGACCAACATCCAGGTTGGGCCTCCCGGACACGTGGCTCCGCCGACTTTGGCCGTTCGCGCCTCATCCTGGCACTCCGCACGTCTTGTGAATGCTGCCCCATCATGTTTCAATCAATCGGATTATGGAAAAGAAAATGGAAACTACTGTTATGGGTTTAGGGTTTGGTGGCTCATAGGTTTTAGGGTCAGTTTTTAGGGGTCAGTTAGGGTTATATTGGGGCTTTATTTGGATCAATTGGGTTAATGGAAAATAAAATGGAAACTACTATTTAGGGTTTACGTTTAGAGTTTCGGGTGTAGGCATAGCGTTTGGGGTTTGGAGTTGAGGGCTTGAGTGGTGTCGGGTTGTAATGTCTCTGTTTTGCATACGAGCTAAGCTGACTGTGTTCTGGCAAATGGTTGCTGCATCTCGCCGAGGAAGAAAATGCAAGCCTGACTGGACGGGGTCGTGTTGCGTGAAGCAGCTGCGGATCTTAAACACCGGCGCGGAGGCGATCACTCAAGCTACAACTACCTAAGCTCTGCTGTACATGCCTTTTCAGATATGTATGTCAGCAACCTCGCAATCTTTTTGTCCAGTTCAGGACAATCTCCCCCCAAATTACCCCTATATTACCCCTACATTACTCCTATATTACCGCTATATTACCCCTATATTACCCCTATATTACTCCTATATTACCCCTATATTACTCCTATATTGCTCCTATATTACCCCTATATTACCCCTATATTGCGTGCCTGGAGGAAACGGTCTCTGCCAGGAAACCCGCCTTTGGAGCAACCGCCTCAGCGGTGGTTATTGGAACAAGCAGACTTGAAGACTCACGTAGAAGGTAACGTAGGGCTTATATGGGGTAATATAGGGATAACATAGGGATAATATGGGGTAAGACAAAGTAATTTAGAGTAATATGGGGTAATATATAGGGATTATAGGCGTTTGGCACGAGCGCAGCA